AGTTTTTTTTTTTTGCTTTTTTTTTTTTTTTTTAAAAAAAAGCAACCCAATGGGCAGGTGCTCGAGTTCCCGGACTGCGGCTGATCCGGGAGCCGAGCAGAGTGCAGGAGCAGGGGGACCTGGGGCCGCGCTGGCCACGCGGGGGTGACCAGCAGAGCCCCGGGAACCCGGGCAGGCTCTGAGGACACGTCGGGGCTCAGCTCCTGCACCCGCGCCCCCGCCAGCCCCAGTCCCGCTCACCATGCCGAGTCCGAGCCTCCTGCGAGCGGCCCCGCACCCTCCGAGCCCAGACGCCCCCAGGGAGAACGCGTCCGCGTTGTCAGGGCAACAGGCCCCGCCCACCACGCAGCAGGTCCCGCCCACCACCTACGCGCCGCGGGACCGAGTGCGCAAGTCCGGAAAGGCTCGGGCCCGCGCAGTCGCACTGGGCACTTCCGGCCGTCGCTCCGCGTCGCTCCGCCCCTCTCCCCCCCGCTCGGAGGCTTTACGCCCTGCGGAGTCGCGACGTCGCGGGCTTTTACGGCCGGAAGTTGCCGGAAAGCGCGGCGCGAGGTCGCGGCGGCCGGCGGGGGCGCTGCGTCGGCTTCCGGATCGCGGGGTCGGCAGGCGGTGAAGTATGCGGGGGGCTGCGGGCGGGGTCGGGCCCCGCGGGGCGGGGGGCGGCGCAGACCCCTGTGGCCCCGCGCGCCCTCGCGGCGGGACTTGGGGGGCGGATTTGCGCTCCGTCCTTTCGGGGCGCCCCCCTTGACCCTGTGCCCGGAGGTCACGACGCGGGGCGAGGGGCAGGGCGCGGGCAGGGCGCGTGCCCACTGGACCGTCTCCCCAGCCCCGGGGCACGGACCGTTCGCAGGGCAGACCCCCTGCCCGGCCGTGCTCGCGGGGGGCGCGGCCACCCCCTGGTTAAGCCGGTGAGTGTCTGGCAGGAGCGAGGAGCGGGGTTCAGGTCCTGGCCTTGCAGGAGGCCCAGCACCCCCCCCAGGGGGGCTCCCCGAAGTCTGGGCCAAAGGGGCGTTTCGGGCGCCCGCGCCCCCCGGGGAACGGCCAGAGCCGCCTCTCCCCGCCCCCACCTCCTCGAACCCGGCCCCGGAGGCTCCTGCAGGATGGTTTCAGCCCTGACCCGGGCAGTGACAACTGCACCGCCCTTCTTTGCCGCATCCTTGGTGCCCTCTGAAGGTCACGGGTGCTGGACGGCCCTGGGCACCACGACCCGCAGCCAGTGGACACATCAGCTAACCCGGAGCCTGTAGGGTTTTTTTTTTTTTTTTTTGCTTTTGGGGTCACACCCGGCGATGCTCAGGGGTACTCCTGGCTCTGCACTCAGGAATCACTCCTGGCGGTGCTCAGGGGACCCTATGGGATGCTGGGAACCGAACCCGGGTCGGGCGCGTGCAAGGCAAACGCCCTACCCGCTGTGCTATTGCTCCAGCCCCCGCCTGTAGGGATTTTTATTCTCAGCCCGTTTCTCACGCCCCACCGACACCCACCCCTGGCTCCCCGCTCCCCGAGGCCGGGAAGCCTGTTCCTGTCCGTGGGGCCCTTCCTGCAAGGCAGGTGCCTGCCTGCCCTCCCCCGGGCTCGGGCCCAGGCCAAGGAGCCTCCTGGCTGCTGCACGGAAAGCCCACCGCTGGCAAACGCAACGGAGGAGCCAGCACAGGGAAGAGAAATGCCATGCTTTGTATAAATTGCCATGGCAAAGAAGGAGAAATCCCCGCCACACAGCTTCCTTTTGTTGTTAGGCAGATTCCTTATCAATATTTGGTAAAGGGGCAACAGCTAAAAAAAAAAAAATTATGCCATAGCCCTAAAAGCTTTCTAGGTTGTGAATAAACAAAGCTCTGCATTCTCTCGGGAGTTAAGCAGGCTGTAATGGGCGTTTTGAAATCATACCTATGTGGATTTCTAGTTTAAAAGCACATAGTTCTTGGGCTCGAGAGAGCTACGTCACATGCAGGAGGCCTGGGTTCAGTCCTTGGGTGCTGAACCCCAACAGGAGTGACCCCCAAACCGAAAAGAAAAACCGACATGGTCTTTGAAAGTCCACACTGAAGAGAGATTCAGGCTGTCTCCCCCTCCCGTTCTGAAAAAGGAAATTAGTTATTAATATACTGGGTTAAATCAACTTGCCAATTCCATCCCAGACTTCACAGTGTCTTTGGTAAAGGGACATAAAGATAGGTCGGAAGCGGAGAAATGTCAACAACAAAACCTTGGAAGCTGCCAAGAGGTTCAGCGATGTGACTTCACACAGCAGCAAAGCCAGTTTCTAAAGCACAAAGGGCCCAAGAGCAGGGCAGTGGGGCGCTGTTGTCAGGTGCAGACGGCAGCAAGTGAAAGCAGAGTGACAGAAAGGGGCTGCGCCCAGTGGGTTCGTTGCTGGACAAGATGGACAGGACTGTGGACGGCGCGGCCTCCAGTTTCGGACGCACAAGCACCCTGGAAGCAGTCTTTGAGTCTGATGCTGACTGCAACCCCCCCCCCCCCCCCCATCCCTCTTCCTCGGATGCTGCCAACAGGCCAGTCCTCAGGTTGAAGTTGTTCGGGGCCAGAGGACTCAAGTGACCTGACTCCTGATCTTCTCCAGGGGGCTGGCCTGCCCCGTTCCAGAGCTCCTAAGACGCACTGCTGCCCTTTGGGTGGGTGGATAGCAGAAAGCTCAGAGCAGACTTGGCAGATGCAGAAAAACAATTTGGAGGGAAACAAGTTCCAGAGACCTGATACTAATTCAAGAGAAAAAAATGTTCTGCTCATTACAGGAATTTGCTCACAAACTACTAGTAACTGTTTTTCACAGGTTTAATGGTGACTGTTCTGATTTTTTTTTCCCCTTAAGAGGAACTGTAGTAGCAGAGGACACAGCCAAAAAGGAAAGGTGACCACAGACCTTTCAAGTGTCCCTTATTTTAAAGTAAGGACACCCAGGCCCCCTCTCCAAAGGGGCAGACCTTAAAACAACCAGTTCCTTACTGGTGCAGCTGGTACCTTGCCCCTCGTGATCAGTGGCAGCCTGTGGTAGGTTCTCTGTTGCCCCATATGCCTCAGTGTCTCTTAGCAAGCTATCACCCCGGGTACATTGATTTTCAGAGTCAGTTCTAGGCATATTCCTACATAGGACACATGTTTAGTTTGAGGGGTTTGACACGCATACACGCGGAACCACTACTCCCATCATAAACTAACCAGCACCCCGAAGATCCCTCCTGCCTCTCCATGCCTTCCCTCTCTAGCTCTCAATTTCCACCCCTGGACCACTCTTCTACACGTTGTCAGTAGTTCGGGTGGTCTGCGGCCATGCTAAAAGCAATCAGAGATCCAGATAAGCTCTCCAGGTTACAATGACGTAGTGCAGGGGTCTGGCCCAAATCCACCTTCTCCGTAAAACATTTTTAATGTTTAGTGCTCTTTTGTAATGTTTCTGCAAGATGGAAGGTTTTTCCGGAGTATCTCAAAGTGCTGCCCCCAATAAAGGAGAGATGTTAACAGCAGAGCGGGCAGACCTGTAGTCACTGAGTGAGCATCCACGCTGTGAGCACCCCAGGATGGGCTGCAAGGAAACTGCTCTCCAAATAACACCCCGAATGCCGCCAGCAGTCCAGATTTGCAAAACGAGGTGCCTACAAAATAACTGGCTTGCAATCTCGGCCATGTGTCCAGTTCCTGAAAACCACAGGAATCCTGAAGAGTGTGGTTCAGGGTGGTCTAAGGACCTGGATACTAAGCACTATGACCTGGGTTGGGTCTCTGGACATCTCCAGACCGAGTGGCTGAATGGGAAGGGTAGGGAGGGGTGAGGAGCTGCAGTGTCTGGCATGGCGGTCACCACACTGGACCCCTGGGCCACTCACACTTTAGTTGCCGTGAGAGACTGGTGTTTTGGATACAAAGTAAGAAGCGATGCATTCATATTCATGAAAGTTCATAAAAAATGGTATTACCGTCATCCTGTTGTTCATCAATTTCCTTGAGCAGGCACCAGCGACGTCTCCTTCGTCCTTGCCCTGAGATTTTAGAAAGTGCCACATTCGAGGCTCTTTCAAGGTCAGGAGAATGAGACCCATCATTGTTACTGGTTTTTGGCATATTGAATACGCCATGGGGAGTTTGCCAGACTCTGCCGTGCGGGCAGAATACTTTCGGTAGCCTGCCAGGTTCTCCAGAGTAAGAACTAGATAATAAGAAATGGTTTAACAGCTTTTCTGTAGGAAGGAAATAATTTCACTTAAAATTGAGGAGCAAAATATGATTTTCTGGCTGTGGGATACACTGAAGTTGCCCAGTTCTATCCTACACCCCACTTGGTCCCTTAGCACAGCCAGGATGGAGCACCCCCGCCCCCCGCCCTGAGTAGTATGAGAGCACTGCCAGGTGTGCCCCTGAAATCCAACACACCCAAAATAAAACCTTGAGGTCATTGAGAAATTGGAAATTGAGTCTAATGGGCTGCTCTTAAGTGGCATGTTGGCTGTTGTCTGACGCCCCTCGGCCTCCACCCTGCGCGTCTCACTGTGCGCCCCCCCCCCCCCCCCCCGCTTTGCGTTTCTCAGCACACAGGCTGCTCACCTTCCTCCCCACGTCTGCTCTTCCACGGGGGGAAACAGGTTCTCAAGGGTCAATCTGTCCATGATGTAGTTGGGGTTCAGCTGTCCTCGTGCTCTCCTGCACGCCAATGTGAAGGGATGTACCCCTACACGTCTGTCTTCATGACACAAAGGCCCATTTTCCTCTTCTGTCCCACTTTCTTTGCAGGACCTGCGCAATTCGTTAACACCTTGTTTGTGTTTTATGACAGATCTCGGTTCTGTGCAAGCAGGTCTCTTACCTGAGACACCTTCATAACCCAGTGTCTACAGCACAGAAGAATTCCCAAAATAGAACAAGAAGTTACTGTTGTCCCACATGTAAAGTCATTTCTCCTTTGAAGACAGTGCAGTTACTTGCAAATTCTTTTCCTTTCCTTCAGGTATGCAATATATGAAAGGGGATACTTTCAATGATATGTGAGAATGGCCAATTCTTTAAGAGGAGAAGTTCTGAACCTTTATAAAAATGTAAGTAATTACGTTACCCATTGTATCAGTGTTATTCTAAGCAAGGATTGCATAGCAATATTTCATCATTCTTTTTAAGCTGCTGTATCTTGGACGAGACTATCCCAAAGGTGCAGACTATTTCAAAAGGCGTCTGAAGAACGTTTTTCTTAAAAACAAAGATGTGAAGGACCCAGAGAAGATCAAAGAACTTATCCGACGGGGTGAATTTGTAATGAAAGAGCTAGAAGCCTTATACTTCCTTAGGAAATACAGAGCTATGAAACAACGCTATTATTCAGATGATAACAAAAGTAACTAATCACTGGTTCTACCACTTGAAAATCGGTGTGGCTGTTCATGTAAACCAACAGTTATGAAATAGTTCTAATGTAAAATGGCAAGAGCTCTGTGATGTGCCCAACCCACCCGAGCTGCCTTACTTCCGACAGGGCTTACCCCTCTCTGAGCGCTCAGCTGCCCTGGAGTCTCCCTCTTGACATGGGCAAACTGCCACGCACTACGTTGCTGCCAGTCAGCAATCGCCAATTAATGAGCACCCAATTGTGCAGGAACATAGAGTGTCCTTGAAGAAGCCTTTAAACTTAATAAGCTTATGCCAGTGAGACTCAGCCCACTTCTCTAATCTGCTCGTGCACATTGAACATAGGACTTCTTGGAAATTGATCCCTTTGAGTTTTTGAAGGGTACCCACTCCCCCAAGTTTTTTTTTTATTTTTTGAACCCCCTTTGGCACATTAGGACATAGCCATGTTTCCCTGCAAAGCAAGTAACACCTGTAACGATTAAAGCAGAGTCATGAAAACAATACATATCAAGCACTTTTCTCATCCTGAACTAACCCGACAGCGACTGACATCACAGACGTGTTTATTCCACGGCCACTTCTGCTGCTGGCTCCCTTTGGGCCTTGAAACAAAGGACCTGCTGTGAATTACCTCCCACAATAAAAAGTAAATGATGTTCTCTGTTGTCATGAAGTCAGATCTTTTTCACATCTACTTTGAAATGAGTTCAAGGCAGTAAGTCCAAGCTGACACACCTTTTCAGATACTCCTGACACCTCTCACAAAGCATATTTCTAACTTCAGATTTAGAACAAGTTTCACGAGATTTCCTGAGGCTGCTCGTGTGCCTGGCTAGAAAACCATTCTGCACCAGCCACGGGGCAGAGTCCACATTCCCAGCAGGAAACACACACTCCACAGTCATCGGAACTGTTTTATTACATTACAGTAATTAGGAGCAGTACAGTTCATGACAAAAATATTACAGATTTCAGATCACTTCACAGCACATACTCCTATAAACATTTAAAAGTTAATTTGAATTAAAAGAGTGGTCATTTTGAAATTTAATGTTTGATGTGACCAACATTCCTAGGTCAGCGCAACCAAAGATGGGAAACAACTGGATCACACTGCATATGTCCCACAAAGGAGCACAATGTACAAAATGTGCATGTTTCAGTTCACACTGTACAAAAATAGTTAAAATACATTCCAGGTAAACATGTGACAGTAAGAAAGAGTACTAGTAAGAAATTGGCACTCAAAGGAAAAATGCAAAAGTATTTTCAACATGAAAACACAAGACAGTGGAATTGGAAACTTTTGGATAAAACATTACATAACCCATTTAGCTTGACAGGGGAACCCTCCCTTAACTGACATTTGGGCAGGTAATAAATTCCTCTAAATTCATTTGAATTGCCAATCACCCAAACTGGCACTGGAAAATAGGAAACTAAAAACTGTTCATCTGGTTTATGACTTCTTCGGAATTGGTATGAATAGACCTTTAAGAAAGAATTTTCATTTTCTGAAGGAATTTACAGCTGCCGACTGTGTGCTGCTCAGTTTCTTGATGCAGGTTTCATGCTACCAGTATTAAGGAACTTAATAGGAATTTGGCTTTAATGTGACTTACGGATTCTTTTAAAATTCACTATATAATAAATGACTGCATTTGACAAATGGAAATGACAGTGTCAGTTGCCAACAACAAATTAACCTGTATTACTTGCGGGAAATGGTTAGAGAGGGGGAAAAAAAACAGGAAATACATACAAATGAGATGAACTTATGAAAACTGCAACTTAACATGCCTCACAACAGTCCTGTGTATTGGAACAAAATTGTGCAAAGATGGCCAAGGTGTGATGGCCTAGGAAAGCTCAGTTCTCAACTCCTGTGCAGTGTGACTCAGTTAACCGAGTCTGGAATTCCTAACTGGGAACACTCAGACGACACATGCCTGCTCCATTCTTCCATAAACATATTAATGTCAAACACTATGGAATTTAGTCATTTTTTTTAAAACTTCAATAGGATTTTTATCTTTAAGGCGGTAATAATTAGGTAACATGTTACTTCTAGGATTATCTCTCCCATTCAAAAATCTCTATATAAACAAACCTTTTGTCAGACCATTCAGGATTCACATAATTAAGGATTACTACTTAAAAAAAGAAAATACCCAGCTACATCAAAAATTCAAGAGTCCTAAAAACCCCCCCACCCCAACTATGCACTGCAATTCCTGAAGTATGGCGTATCTTTCTCTCGTGTAGAAACAAGAGGAGGTACTGTATAACTATAGTCTTCACACCCTGCCCTCGAGAACGTTCCCTCAAGCTGTGGTTTAGTATCTCATTTCAGAAATCTGACTGAGATGAAACAAGCCTTCTATGAATTAGTTCAGGCACCTTGTGTAGTCATACCCAGATAAAACTATTTTAAAATTCAACATTTAAAAGTCTAATTACTTAGACAAAGAGACCAATTAGAGTATTTCACATCTGGGAATTTTAATATTAATACAACTTTGTAACTGCCCCAATAAAATCACAGTTATGCCAAATGAAAAACAATATAATCAAGTTTATTCCTTTTAAACAATAAAGTAATTTATATAAAGTAGTTTGATTAAACAATTACATTGGAATCAGGAAGACAATTACTTTAGAACTAGAAGAAACAAGAGACCAAATCCCTGCTTGAGAGCCTAAATTAAGCATGGTGGTATCTCTGGGTCACGTGCCAAATGCTTCACTAAGACGCTCCCGATCAAGGAACCACGTCCCCTTGTTTGGGGGTCCCTAGAAATCCCCACTGCCGAGTGCAGTGCCAGCAACCAGTAGGCACTCAGATTTCGGTTGAATAAATGAATTCTGCCAAAAATCTTGAGGCTCAAATTTCAAACTCCTTTTCATTGTAAGATCTGAGTTAATAAGCAGTGGAATGTATCACTCTCGCCAAGGCTAACCTCACTGCACACTCCACATCATCTCAGCGCTGCCGCTACTCAGTCCTCCTTCCGTTGGACAGGGTGCCGTCTACTCAGAGCAGTTCTGAAAATTCCTAGTCACCAAAGGACGATCCAGCAAAGAGATGATGTACCAAGGATGAAGACGCTATTGCTACAGCCAGCCCCTGCAAAGGAGCTGCCCGGGCCAGTCCCACATCGGGGTGTCTGATTCGGTTGCGCCTGAGGAGAGCGTGGGGCAATTGCGCCTGATGCAGCCTGACAGGAAGCCTTCGCGGAGACACCCGAAGCAGCAATAGATCTTGAGGTTAGGGAAACGAGTATTCAGAGAAAAAGCAACAAGACACGGGCAGAGCGGGCAGACAGGCCAGGCGACACCGGGAACGGACATTTAATCAAACTACAATTTTGCTCAGTACTAGCGCTGCAGGTGAGAAGACAGGTAAAAAGTTAGAGATTGTGCCGAGACTGACGAATAGGTCTATCTTTATGTAAACTGAATGCAAATCAGAGTGTAAAGCTATTCAGCCTTTGAGATGACTTCCTGGGCCACGAAGCAATGAATGGGAAGGGTCTGTCCGGAACCGGAGCTGGGAGATGCAGGACTGGAATCCAGGCCACCTTCCTTCCGGCCCGGCGATGCGGCCCCTCGATGGACCATCTCATGCCACAGATTTCAGAGTCAGTAACGTTCAGTCACATCGAAGGAACCTTTATTGTCTATTTCTTAAGCATCCACCTTCAAAAATGGTTCGGACTTATAAAGTATTTATGAATTGTGACTTAAGCCAGTGTTAAGGAAATAGCCAATATTAGAAACCTGGAAGTGTTCTTGCTTCGTTGTTGAAAGTATTCTTTAAATCTCGGCACCCACCATTTATTTAAAAAATTATTTTGAAGGTGGCTTGCCTGAAGCAAAAGAGGTATTCCTCCTCCTCATCTGTTCGTAGGACAACCGGTGAGAATGTCTCACTGCACTACAGGTTCTCCGGGTCCCCACGTCTCACCCACCGACTCAAGACCATGTGGGGAGACAAGGGCTCAGGCCCTGCGCCAGTGCTCAGACACGCTCTGACGGTCCCAGGAGCATGGCCTGCCACGTCGTGGCCCGATCCTTACGAGCTGACAGGCCTAAACCTCCTTTCCACATCACTGCCAGCACCCAGACTATTTCCAAAGACAAGTTCAAGAGAAGATTTCAAAGTTGGGCTCCAACAGAGTAACCTGACACAGGGAGACTCTATGTAATCACTACAAGATTTTTTTTTCATCTGTGTTTTCTCAATAATTACAAAAATTTCGTAGCAGGCAAATATAGCCCCCAGTGGCTGCTGTGAGCCTCATTCCTGTGGGGTCCACCCTAACAGGCTAAGCTGCCAGGCGCTCACAGCAGTCTCTCTGGTGTGGAAAGGAAATGGCCCTTAGCATTTCTTGTATTTTTTTCCATTTTTTTCCACCCTTTTTATAGAAAAAATATATTTTAGGAGCATGGCCATGACAAACAGCAGTGGAAAGAGGGAGCAAAGGTTTGTGAACAATGTAACCTGACAATCATTAGGGTGAAACCTTTGTGAACAACATAACCTGACAATCATTAGGGTGAGTGAAATCACACGGATGGTGTCTACAAGCAGACCTACAGGGAGCCTATAAATTCACGTTCCCTCGGCGTAGCAGGAAATCGCAACTCAAAATGATAGTTGGTTATCAATCGTTTAAGTGACTACAGAAAAGACAGAGTAGGTATGACTGAAAGCTTCATTAATTTGTTTCACACCAAAGTTCACAATTGGTAAGAATAATAGGAAATAATCAACTGCATGCACCAAAAACCCCAAGACAAAATCTCAGGTATTCAGTTTCCTCTTCACAGGCATTGCTAGTTCAAAAACCAAAACTCAGGGAATACTGGCACTTAGAGGAAAAAGTTTCCACTGTCATTTTAAAATAAGCATTCAAGATAAAAGCTAACAGTTTGGATGGAGCAGAAAGAAAATTAGGTAATGCTAAACAAATGCTAATAATTTAGTGTAATGTACAAAAATTACCACTTTTACTTAAGTATGCCTTAAGAAAAAAGTACAAATTGTATTTACATAATTATACACTTTGTCTTTGACTTCTTTTTCTTCTTTTTACCATCTTTGCTCATCTTTTCTTTATGTTTTCGAATTTCTCGAACTAATGTATAGAAGGCATCATCAACACCCTGAAACACATAACAAGTATTAAAATGTGAATATAGCATGATGAGGGATGCACAAATAATCAGACAGAAAATCAGTAACTGACTAAAATGAGACACTTTACATTCTCTTCAGGCAAAGAATATATATTAGACTTTTAGGATTCTTAAATGTCTTCTTTGTGGGCATTTTTCTCAATCTTGTAAATAAGAACATGGATATTCACAACAAAAAGTAATGAAAATTGATAACAAGGAATCTTTTATGTAACAAATTTTTCAATATTACTTCGCAAATTTTTCCATTTTGACATACCTTAGCCACCAAAACTCAATGTTTATGTCACCTACACTTAATAACCCGAGTTTCCAGACATTAGAAGCTTTAAGATTATAAAATTAAGGAAAAGGATTACTTAAAAATTCAAAGATCATTTACGATTAGAGCAAACAAAAGGTTATTAAGAATACGTAAGATGTCATTGAAGATTATACCAATCGTGGGGGCTGGAGCAATCAATGGAGAGAACGCTTGCCTTGCACGCTGCCAACCCGGGTTCAATCTCTGGCATCCCACATGGTCCCTGAGACCTGCGGGGAGTGAGTCCTGAGCCCAGAGCCAGGAGTAAGCTCTGACCACTGCCAAATGTGGTCCAAAGACAAAAACAAAAAAAAAGATTCTGCCACCTTTTAAAGACACGATATTGGAGCTCCTGTTAAACACTAGCGTGTTCAGCTTTCCATCATTACCAGTATGTAAACATTATCTGTATACACTTTTCGTTTTCCAATATTACAGATTAAGGCATTAGTTTAATTCACTTATAAATTTGCATTGCCTCCGAACAAAACACTCTTTGAAAATATGATCCCTCTGTTATGAGGAGAAATGAGTAAAATGTGGTATAGTTTGCCAGTTTGGAGAAGGCTCTTTTATTTATTACTGTTTGGATTTTTTTTTGGAGGTATGGGGGCCCAGGGCCCCACAGTTAATTCTGGCTCCACCAGGATGGTGCTTCAGTACGTGGGCATACAGAGGATGCGATGCTGGGAGTCAGCTGGTCACTCTGTGGCGCCCAGGGTCAGCTGGCAGCGCCTGCAGTGCCAGGGCCTCCAGGGCTGCACCAGGTGCTGCTCGAGGGACCAGGTGGTGCTGGGAACGGAACGTGGGACAGCATGTGCCAGGCATGTGCCCTAACCACATCTTTGTACCAGTTCCTGGTTCCGGTTCAATGTATTAAACATTCAGAATGACACAAAACCAAAGTATGGTTCAGAAAACTTTGAACCAGTTCCGTTGAAAGAAATTCCCACTTGGTCCCTGAGCTCCCATCTACCGTGACAGTGCGAATATTGACATCAGGTAGGTATGGCTGCAGGGGGATTCCACAGCAGAATACTTTGCTCTTTAATCATGCATAACATGACAAACGGCCCTTGAAAATTAGAGTGGGACTCTAGATTTTAACCCTGCAATACAGTTATAAAAGACCCATACCGAAGTCAATCACTGCGTGTCCCATTAAAAGCAAATTTCAAGCAAAATAAAATCCTAACATATCCTTCATATTTCATTACTTTTCATTTATATGACTTGTAATTTTTGTAGTTCATGGCAGATTTGTTTTTAACTGAGCTATCAGTCTGCAGTAGCACCGACGTGTTCATTTTACAGCTGCAGTTCCTATTCTTCGATATATTTTATGATCCGTCCAGCTGAGCAGTGACTAGGACCTAATGATGCTTTCAGACTTGGACACTAGAGGGAGTCTTGCGAACAATAACCCGGGAATGGAGCTGTTTAAATCAAGCCACTTGAAGAACAATGAACAAGGTTTCTTCTTCCCCCGCCTTCTAATCACCTCTGCTCAACAGTCACACAAACACATCCATGAATCTTACTGTCTTGAAAAAAATTTGAAGTTTACAATAATATGATCTGCTTTACTGCATCACACCCATCTTCTACAACTAGTATTTCAAATAATAGTGAAATTCAGGACATTTCATTTGAGTGACCTTTGGTTGATTTTTGGCAACCTTTTAAAGAACAAAGGAGAAATGAGAGGCTTGTTCAAATGAAAAGAATCAGTGGGATTCTGGGATCACTCATTGAACTTCGTGAATTCCCTCCGGCCCCCGTTTGTGCTGGAAAGCTCGCTCGCCACCTTCTGATGTCATTACTGAGGCAACAGAAACATATGCCTTTGCTTCACCCAAGAGAGAGGGGCAATGTGAAGAAACATCGTTTATAGCAATACAAGACTTTTAATAACCTTGTAAAGAAACCAAAAAAAGAAAAAAAGGAACTTTCTGCTGTGTTTTGATTGAATTGTTTTCCTGAAACATTTTCCTGAAACGTTTTCCTGAAACACTGAAATCATTTTATCTTTTATAAAATATAGAAGTCAGAGATGAGTGCAGTGTGAACATGATGTTAAAGATTCGTCTCCTGAGTGGTAAAAGAAACAACCAAGGCGCTCCTTGACCGAGTCCTAATCCTTCCAGACAGATTGGAATCTGAAGGCTTCGGAAAGGCGGGAGCCCTGGTCTGGTCTGGTCTGGTCTGGGTCCCGCATCCCCCACCGCCCTGCCCTGCGCCGATCTCCTTTCAACACACATCTGTACGTGCTCGCCTCCAGCAACGACACGGCAGCACTGGCTCTGGGAGGCGGCGGCGGCCCCACTGTCAGGTGAAACGGGACCCAGGAGACGAATCTTTAACAGCATGTTCACACCGCACCCGTCTCTGATTTCTGTCTTATCAAAATTAATTCCAATGGTTAGGAAAATGGTCCAACCGTATAGATGTGTAAATGTGAATGAGCCACACTTAGACATGTAAAAGGCGAGAGCAGCGTTCCAGTGAAGACTGGCCGAGCTCATTCATTCTAGAACTAAGGAAAACTCATCTGCAGATAATCTGCCTCTATCAAATTTGGAAAAATGTTATTCTGAAGACTATTTACTACTCCAGGTATGTTTTTAAAATTATAAATGCGCTTCACATCCACTAAGTAGAATTCATCATGCTCAACAATTAAATTTCATACCATATAATCAGAGTAGTTTACACAAATTAAAAATTTACAGTAGATGCTTCCACCCTTGTTTTAAATTGAAACTGATTGTACCCTAAATAATTCTACTTTAAAATAATGAGAAAACAGAAGCTGAAGGTAAAAAATCGTCACTTAAATCTGGTCACTGCTACTGCGGTTTTAAGTTTCATCTCTCAAGCTGCACTGCAATGTTTGATCACGATCTGACCACGACTTCTAAATGAAGAAACTGCTAAGGGTGACACTCAGGAACGTCACAGAACTCAGCAGGAACTGGTGCCTCTGTGAGGTGCCGTCTTTCAGGCTGGGTGGGTGGGTCCCTACGACACACACGAGCTGTTGGAGGCTGGATCCAGGGCACCACATACGGTCCCTTCGGCACCACTGGGGGTCACTCCTGAGCACAGAGCCAGGCACAGCCCCGGAGCACTGCTGGGTGGAGCCTCCAAACAAGCAAACGCACAGAGTTCGGGGAGCCAGGGATGTGGCTTGGTGGGGGGGGCACATGCCTCGCCGTGTGTGTGGGCCTGGGTTCCATCCCTAGCACCGCAAAATCAATGTAGAGACACAGCTTCTCCTGTCCTGATGCTGAGTCAAAGAGAAAAGCGGTTCTTGTAGTAGGGTGCGAGGCAGGCAGGGGGCAGGAAGGCCGGCTCAGCTGGAGAAGGCGCTCCCGGAAAGGGTGTCCGGCCAGCAGCGGGGATGAGCTCGCAGCAGCCACAGCCGGGGAGGGGACGTACGAGGCATTTATGTCTCTGAGGACAGTCACGTGAGACCAGGAGCCGTCAGTGGCACGGCCAAAGGCTGTATGAGCTACGCTTACATCACCGGAGACAATCCCACGGGCCACAGAAAGCCCGCGACCTGGACTTCGAGAGCAGTGAAGGTCATTTCTTTTCCACAAGCCTCATCTGGCGGCACCAGGAAGTACCGTCAAACCAAACACGCTCTCTCTCCCCGGCATGAGATCCGAGGCCCTGAGCTGAGGATGTGGTGTGAGAGTGGGAGTGGAATACCCTTGAAATTAAGGTCCACCCGGAGAGTGCTGAAAGAAGGTGCTGGAAAACGCAGGCGGAGAGCCAGCCTGCTGGCGCTCTCTTACCTCTGCTCCCCAGACCGGATGATGCAGCCTAGTCGAAACCTCAACCAGAAGTTAGTGCACGTTGGATTAAAAAGAAACACACCAAGGACGGAAGCAAGCCTCAGGTTCCTTTTCTTTAGTGCTTGAGTAGAACCCACACCTGGGGAGTTATACAGCGGCTGCTACTTTGGTACCTTTGGTTCTCTGTGTTTTCTGCCAAAATGAATATGCCAAACTTACCAGATTACATTACAATGCATTTTTTAATTTTCACACAGCCAGGAGTCTTTTCTTCTTTGCAGATTTTTTTCAATCTGTATTGTCGGATCTCTCTCACCAATGTATAAAAAGCATCCTCCACTCTCTGCATTGTAAAACACAACTTCTTTAAAGTCTGTTTTATTGGTAATCGTGATTGATTGGGAAAGCCATGTGCAGAAGTTGAAAATGATGAGCTTTACTTGAGAGTTTTTTTTTTTTTAAACAGGAATCAGATTGTCTTAGTAAAACTGGGGATGCAGGCTTGTATCCTGGTTTGATCTTTAAAATCACTTTGCTTTGTAATGGAATGAGAATTTTTAAAAATTGAATGTGAAATTAGGGGAGATTATGATAACCTAAATACAAGTATTTTTACCAAACTAACACAAGAATTGTACTTGGCTAGTTACGGAATAATCAAGCCTAAACTGAAACTTGAATTACTTCTTGAACTTAGAGAAAACAACTGTTTCGCTGAATCCTACACTCCTCCCTGCTTTCCTCTAACACCGCCTGCCTGAGGAGTGAGGAGGAAAAACAGTGCAAGGTGATGTTCAACCTTGGTTAAAAAAAAAAAAAGGCACAGAACCACTTGAATAAAGTTGGATCAAGAGAGCAGAATCTTGAATTTTCTCTGATTACAGCACAGTCAGCCCTAGGGTCTGCAGAGAACAGTGCTTTAGAAAATGAGTAATATTATTAAAGTAAAATTGCTAATGGAGAAACTGATTATTGTACTACAAAAAGAAAAAAAGCCATTTTGAACTGTTTGATATAGAGATGGGAAGAGCAGCAATGCATTTTGAGTTCTTTGTATTTTCACCACAGATCTTGAAATACATTTTCAGAACTGTATTCACTGATACTGGCTTCTGTGCTTGTTTGCCTGCTAACACCATTGTGCATGGCCACACAAATATCACAGGTTTTAATGTCTTTTCCAGGCCAGAAAATTAGGAGGTGCCACTGGGGACAAAGTGTGTAGTTACCTGGAGTGCCAGCGTGAGCTGAGAGCGGACAGTCCCAGGCTCTATCCCAGCACTGCCCAGGGTGAGCCCTGAGCACAGCCAAATGTGCCACCCCCGCCCCCCCAAAAAAAAAACAAGAAAAAAGGAACACCAAGGGGGGGGGGGGGGAAAACGAAGAGAAAACTAAAACCTACGGGGGAAGAAACCTACAGCCAAAGGAGAAACAGCTGAAAATAAATGTCTACAAATACGAATCTTTAGACTGTGCAAGTTAAAAGATATGGGTATAAAAAGAGATATGGGTTTGTTCATCTGGAAAGAATTCAATGTTTAGAAGGGGGAAAGTTGGTCTCTCTTACTGCTGATATGCTACTGAGCTTCCCCTGCGGTCTTCACCTCGATCGAGACTTACTCTCCCTCTGAGCACTGCCAAGGTCACTCACTTTCCGCAGCATCTCTCTCGGGCCCAAACTGTGAGTAGACGCCCCGTGCGCAGGTGGCAAGTCTGAGCTGCTGTTCAAGACTCTGTCAGGGACAGAACTGGCCGACTCTCCTGCAGTAGTTCAGGGGAGAACAAGCACCCCCATTCTACAGGATACGTTAATTGTAATAAATCTCCCAACATATACTAAGAACTGCCTCAGCAGATTTCTGTAACCTAGCCTGAAAATAAACTTTCAACCAAGATTTATGGGATCAAGCTCCAGTTAAGGAATGAACACTGACTGCGTCGACTATGTAGTGGACTGTTCATCTCTAGTTATTTCACCACCAGGTATAAAATATTTCTATTCCACTAACAATAAAAAAAAAAACATGACTATCTTAGTAAAATGTCAATTATGAGCTGACCCTTTCACAATGATGATCTTTCAATTTGAAAAAGAAAATTAAAATATATGTAAATAAAACAAACCAGGTAAAAGCTCAGATCTTTTAGGAATACAAATTTCTACTCCTGTTTAAAAAAAAAAAAAGTGGCCAGGTGGGAGTCCCGGCCAGCCGTGCGGGCAATCGGAGCGGCCTCTGCCCGGCAGCGCGTGGATTGGCCCTGGGTTCCAGAATCAGCGTCCCGCACCGCTGCTGAAAGTGCACGACCCCGTCACCAGTGCCAGAACGTGATTCTCGTTCCCGCGATGCAGAGAGAAGCGGAAGCCAGTCATTGCCAGGAGATCACTGCCCACCACCGAGAATTTAGTAGGAGAGCCTCGACGGCTGACGTCGACAACCGAGAACCGCGGCTTCTTCCCTGCTGATTTCCACTAACAGAACGCTCACAGGAGGTCACCACAGCGTCTCTGTTCCAGTCACTCCTTTCTCTCAGTAATGCCGTGAAGTCGCACAGACATCATTTACCCTTGCGTGCATCTTAAAGCACACGTGCACGGAGCCGGTCTTACACCCCGAAGTTTGTGGGTCATTTTAAAAGACAAAGTAGAGCCAGAACAAGTGTTTAATACCCACTTGGCTCTGGTACTCAAGGGACTTTTTCTGGAGAAGATGCTTTGTTGTCACCTACATGTATTTGCAAAGGTCCCTTATTAAACCGAAAGAACTGAAAACATTTGTGTAGAGACAGAAGCACAAATGCTAATGTAAGTCCAACTTTTTAAAAGAAGAGATCTGCAAATGTTTCAGCCAGCTCTCAGAGAAGACACCGTGGGCCTGAGGAAACAGAGCCCTCCGGCCCAGAGAGAGCTGCCAGCAAACAGCTTTATTCTCCACCCTGGGGCCCATAATGCTTTCACTAAGATTTAATTTTGAACAAATATTTAGTCCTGGGCGAGTTATTTATTATCTGCTGTCCTCTTGCAAATTCCCGCAGGAAACACCACTTCTAAGTATCCAAGAGGAGACAGATGCAACCCCGTGCTCCGTGGGGAGAGAAACGGGAGGAACGAGACTTTGCTCTGTGGCACTAGGGTGCGGCCAACCTATTCGTGGAAGGTCACTGTGGGGAGGGAACTCTTCCTTCAGCCTTCCAGGTTCGTTCTTTCAGCTGGCTAGTCACTGAATCAACATCAGACTTAGCTGAAGGGCAAGTCCAACTCTGTGCATCCGAAGAACGCGCACAGACAGGGGGAAAAGGAGAGACGGGCCCACCACTGCCCTGCACTGAGGCACCAGGGGCTGCAAGGCAGAGGCTGGAGGCTGCTCTGTGCTGCACACAGGTGTGAGGAAGAAGCTCTCGTGATGGGCACCCCACCCCCAAATCGGGGTTCTCCCAGGAGGTGGAAGGAGCGGCAGACTGATGCCCACGTCCCACCCACACACCTGGGAAGCCTCTTCTGAACCCCACTACACCGGGTGTACAGCAGGGCTCAGAAAATGCTAAACGCTCTATTTCTAATTTATATTAAAAAAAAAAAGCTCCTTAAGATGCTGCTCACATGGACAGAATAAAAAAATTTTAAGTTCATAGTCAAGACCAAAAGCTAAGACATGAACCAAGTGCTTTCACTGAAAGCTGTAAGAACACGCGTAGTCACTTCATCCAAATACCAATTACAGCAGATGAGCAACATAATACTCTGCAGAAAATAGGGCCGCAAAACCGGGAGCTGTAAAACGCATTCAATTTTGCAAACTGTGTTTGATCATCTTTACTTGGAATGCCCTTTGAAGTCTTCCAGGAGCATCCAAATGTCAAATTTCAGTTCAACAGAAGATGAATAAACTTGCAAGAGGCTAATCAAAGTTCATGCAATAAAGAGAAACCAAAGGCCAGAAATTAAAACATCTAAATTAGAGCTTAGCAAGATTCCATACAGATACCAGTAACTCAAGCTCTAAGTATTAGGGAACCTGAGAGCTCGGTTAAGAAAGAAAGGGCTTCTTTCAATTATGTCGCCCTGTATTTCAGATGATCCACACAATTTCTACAAATCAAATTCTAATCAATCCATTTTCAGATCATTCATGCGACATTTCGCCTTCCCACCAAGCTTTATGAAGCTATTAGTTTTGATGAATTATGCATGCAGTGGTGTCTTCAGAGCGTCGAGGTCAAACACCAAGACCACACCACAGACACAGTATGACCAGATCTACGGCAGAAGACGGGGAGGACAACGGGGCAGGAACGCAAATTCCTTCTCCTGTCGCTGCCGGCCCCGCATCTCCATGTGTGACGTGTGGGCCTGACACGGCAGTGAGTGTGTGTCAGAAGGTGTCGGAACAGCCTGCGACCCCTGCCCACTGCCCTGAGTGGGTGCGTCACAAGGTGGACTCACAAGTGCAGCGGGAATGGCCCACTGCCCTGAGCCTGCCGCCCTGGCCGTGCCTACACCTTGTTGGCCCGCTGCGCTGGCTACAACCCTCTGAAACATTGCGCCAAGGCTCGGGTTTTCTCTTTCCTCTGTACAATGCAGACTCAAACACTGACTAGTCTACAAAGCCTCTTCTAAAAAGTCTGAGAAATGAGGCAGCAGGTTTTCTGTTTTCAGGAAATTAACTACACAGCCCTGGATGAGCTCTTCACCCATTTTCTTGACTCCTACACTTAGAGAGGTCAACATTGCACAAAACGGGCTTCTTGGGCTCAGAACACAGAAGCGGATGAAGCCAGAACAGAGTTGGTCTTACACGGAGCAGACACGGACCATTCCTAGTTTGGTGCAATACACCTGACTGTTATCAGGGCTTCGGCTCCGGCAAGCAACAAGGCTACATCACATCAACTGCAACGTTCTGCTCAGAGAAAGAGAGAAAGTCCTATGAAATGAAGACGATTCTGGGTGAGAGGCACTGGGGTTGGGCCCTGGGACCTCCAATCCCTCCAGCAATCAGTTAACAGAAGATGTTTGATGAAATCATAGTCAGCGCCAAACTAGCATTTATCTGTCAGGACAGAGGAAGCAAATAACTGAGAATTGCTATTTCCCTTCTATTTTCTTGCTCTAATTTCCTTCAAAAATATATTTTCTTCTAAAGAAAATATATCCTTTAAAAAGTAAAATTCTTCAAATACAAAATTTAATTTGAAAGTACAGGAAGGACATAAGACTCTGACGTGCGCTTCGGAAACAGGGAACTCAAGAGTTCCTGGCCCTTGGTTTGTGGATCGAACAGAGAAGAAACCTCCGAGACCTCCCAGTTTCTTGAGTCCTGAATGGAAGACGTGCTGAGCAGAATTGAACTGTTGAACGTGGAAAGAAATCAAAGCCCCAAATCACACCACGAATACAGAATTGAGAAGCACTGTCCGAGCATCTCCTTAACAGAGCATTTAACACACGAACACTGCTTTATTTCCGAGCTGAGTGTACGGAGGAGAAAAACAGACAAACGCCATTCGAGGATTTAACCACTGCTCTGACCCTCCTGCCCCTGAAGTGATGCCACGAGAGTATTAGTAGGTCAAGGCTGATCGAAATCACTGGAGACGGTGAGCAGAGCACGGGCCCGGGTTCACTGCAGCCCCACTTACCTGTCTTGTCTTGGCTGATGTCTCGATGAAAGGGATCCCGTAACTTCTTGCTAAGTCCTGCGCCTGCTTCGTATCTACTGTTCTAGAAGGCAAATCACATTTATTTCCTACTAGGACCATGGGGACATCTTCAGAGTCTTTGACTCTTTTTATTTGTTCTCTGAGGAAGAAAAGAAAGCAAAACGGAGGCTTCAGTAACAGGAAGATTTCCCCCCAGACCCCCGCAGCTGTCTTGGGATGACCACCCACCAGACCGGCTGTCCCCGCTCTTCCTGCCAGGGGCGCTGCTGCCGCCCTCTTTCAAGGGGGAAGGAAGTTCTAGGTCTCAAGAGTTCAACCCACTAGAAACTGCCATCTGATGGGTTCAAGGGCCGGTAACAACGATCAAAGCCTTGAAAATGGGGCGTGCTCTTCAAGGCCATCGTCTCACAAACACATGCTGTACGTGTGGTCAGATGCAAACGCATAGAATTACAAGTGTTTTTAGTTTTCACCTGCCTTTCTCCAACAGGAGTGCCAGCTGACGGACACCTACTTTCTCTGTCTATAATACGCATACAGTAGCCTGTAAAAGGCCTTCTGCAGGTTCAGATTTTTTCGTGTAAAATGTAAGTATAACTCTTCCTTCATACTTCTAATAACTGAAGACACAGCGTGGGAGAAGGAACAGTGGACAGGAGTCAGGCCCAGCTCCCAGTCCCGGTCTCTCTCCTCGTTCGCTGAGAGGGGCTGGATGAGTCAGCACCTTCGTACCGATTCACTGCTCGGCAAAAATAGCGCTGCCGGGTTTCTTCTTCTCCATTACTAGGTTACAGGAAAACCTGCCGCAGGACGTGCACATACAATGCCGGAGCTTTTCCGAGGGCAATTCCCTGTCATCTGCCATGACCAGAGAGCGGCACATGTGCACGGAACCTTGCTCACGGAAACGCTAACCCCTTAAAGACATAAACTCGGAGCCATTCTTGAAGAATGATTTTTGAAAGTTTCTGTTAGTAAGTTACACTTATGCAAGTCTGTCAGATTCTTGAAAAGCACAATGTCTCGATTCTGTTCCCCTCCAGAGTTGCATTTTCCCCCCTACATCTCCAAAGATGATCTGTTGATCTGATTCCAAGAAATCCTAATTACGTATGCCTGGTTCTTTTGAAGGCCCTTTCAGGGGTGAGCACCTCAAACCCCTGCCCAGGACTGCTGAGGTGTTTCCCTCCCTCGATGGGTGTCCTGACCCCAGCGGGCGCCGCTCCTGTAGTGAGGAGCTCACCGCCCAGAGCCGAGACCTGGGTCTGCACAAGGGGCTGGTTTACAGTAGAAATGCGCTCCTCAGGGTGCGGTGCTCAGCAAACAGTCAACAACGCAAGATAAAGGACTCTTGAATGGCAACTTACTCTCTCCACTTGAAACCCACCTATAATGGTGAATATCTTCAAATGACTTAGTATTATTTATGGCAAACACACAGAGAAAGCCCTCCCCAGTCCGCATGTACTGGTCCCTCATTGCACTGTACTCCTCTTGACCCGCCGTGTCGAGAATGTCCAAGAGACAGGTTTCTCCATCAATGACTACTTGTTTTCTGTAGGAGTCCTGGGAAAGGAGACAGTCGCATTATTAGGGTGCGCCCTTGGCTCTGAAAACGGCGTCAGACATAGCAATGTAAGACAGATAACCCGGAGCTGCTTCAAAGCAGATGAACAAATGACCAATAAGCATCGGAAGGGACGTTCAACAGCATTAGGGAAACTCGGCTGAGCGTTACTCCTCACACCCATTCTGGAGAGTAACGGAAAACAACCGTGTTCAGGAGGCCCGAGAAGTCGGCAGCTCTGCACGCCGGGACGGGCATGAGCGGCGCCTTGAAAGCAGCACACAGAATGACCACGAGGCCTGACCACTCTGGTCCTGGGGAGATGAAGTGGGGAGGAAACAGCATGCTGTCTCGCAGCATGCGAAGTGGCATTATTTACAACAGCCAAAACCAACCGAAGGGGACTGTTTATGACACACCTGACGGGTAAACCAAAGGCGGCACTTGCACTCAGCGAACGCTATTCAGCCACAGAAAGCAACGCAGTGATACAACATCGATGAACTTTGAAAACATTATACCAGCTCAAAACAACTAGACCCAGAGAGACAAACAGTCTCTGATTCCCTATCAAGGAGCTGCCTAGAAGAGGTCAAGCCACAGAGACGAGAAGGAGAATGAAGGCGTCCTGGGGCTGGACTCAGTGGGGCGTGGGCAGTTTCCATCTGGGATGAGGTGCTGGAAGATGATCTCACCAACGGTTGCATGATACTGTGAATTTACTTAATATGACTTACCCAATGTACACTCTGCTTAATGTACATTAAAAACTGGTTAGTTTCATGCCACCATACCGATTTAAGATTAATTGGTAAATTCATGAATTTAATTGCTTAACAGAAATGAGTTATTGCTAGCCAGCTTATGACAAAAAGGTGTTACACAGAGAGCAAAGCCAGTGGACATACTCAGAATAAAGACACAAATTCTCTACAAAAGACAGAGGCAAATTTCACCAAGCCCTTTATTATTTTCTTTTTTAAATGTCATTTTGTCTTACAAAACATTATTAATGGTTTCTCACGGATGTCACTCGGCCACCACGCCGTACACCCATCTGCAGGGTTCCCCTCCCTCCAGTTCCCCGTGAAGTGCCCTGGGTCCCTGATGTTGTCTCACTGTGTCTCCCCGTCCCACACGAGAAGGGCGGGCGGGGGGTATCGTTCTGTGTCTGTCCCTTTCATGGGGGCGCCGCACGGCCTCCTCTAGCTCTACCATGTAGCCGCAACCAGCCTAGTCTTGCTCTTTGTCAGATCAGAGCCGCATACCATTCCCCTGTGTACACGCACGACCTCTTGACCCACTGACCTGCAGATGGGCATCAGGCGTGTTTTTCTACCTGGACCGCGACACTAGGTTTGGTGATGAACGCAGGTGTGCACAGATCCTTTCGAATTAATGTTCTTTGTGTTTGGGGGACAGATGCCAAGGGGGTATTGCTGGGTCATACGCCAGACCCTACTTTCTGGAGAAACCTCTAGACTGCTTTCCCCAGACGGCACTCCCGCCCACAGGAGCAAGGCTCCTTTCCCACACCGCCCCGCCCACGCTGGCCCAGGCCAGATTTTCTGATACATTTTCTCATGGGTGTGAGATAGTATCGCACTGTCGTTTTGATTTGCATTTGTCGAATCATGCCAACTCCATTACTTTCATGATTTAGATCCAAGGGGGGAAAAGACTGGTGTTCTTACAAGTAATTGCCATGCCTCTGTTTTACTTACAGTCGAGGGACCACTGAAGAGAATGGTCCATGCTGGGAATTTATGGCCCTAACCCATGGCTGGAGTCCAGGGAACACTCCCTAACCGCCAGGTGGATGCTGAACAACCCCAAAGCGCATGCGGATTCTGCAGATTCCAGGAGAGGAGGGAGGGAGAGGAAGAACAGGAGTCAGGCGCTGACTCGGCACACAGACGGGGGCTTCACTACAGAACCTGGGATGGAGCACCTGGCTTTCAAGGAACACTCATGCCTACACGAAGGCACGCACACACACAGACACGCACATATACACATGCATGAACACAAACAGGTGTGCGCGCATGCGCACACACACTCTCTCTCTCTCTCTCTCTCTTTCTCAAAGCAGCTTCAGCAGGCAAGGTGACAGGTGAGCGGTCAGGCCTGGGGCAGGTGTCAAGGAAGTGCCTCGGGCCCCGAAGTCCCAGAGAGCCGCGACACCTCCTACCCCACTGCAGCAACGGGCCGGCGCAGGCGCACTCTCGGGCAGGTGGCTGGGAAGTGCTGGAGAATGTAAGGGAGACACTTGCCTGGCACTGAAGTCGACGTGGCCATCTGCAGGAGAGCCTCGGGCTTTGGTTTGTGGCCACGCCCGACGGCGGTCAGGGCTGACTCCTGGTTCAGTGCTCAGGGCTCGCTCCTGACAGTGTCTGAGGGGACGTACCAGGTGCAAGGCAAGCACCTTACGGGCGGTTCCTTCGCTCTAGCCCCGCTCTCAGACACTTAAACGCTGGTGACAGTTACCTCAAAAGTGCTGGCCGAGGCTCCGTCTTGAAGGGAGAGACTTAAGACATAATTTCACCCCTTTTCTACCAGGTGTGATGTTCAAGTATTTCTTTGACTTTCAATTTTTCAAAGTATCAACGCTCTCTTTCAGCCCCTCCTTCCTTGAACCAGAAATCATGACACCTTACAGAAGCGCGAAACGAAATGTAAAATAAAATCATGATCTGTCACCAATAAGCGTCTAACTGCGTCCCAAATGAACGTCCAGAGCCGCGGTTGTAGCATGTCAGAGGCCTCGAGAAATAAGGATGAAACAGGGTGACTTCAGCCAACTCAAGAGTAAAACTACAAGAAAGAAAGTTATTCCACACATTTCTCCTCACACTCAGCTCAAGGATTATTTTAACTAACAAAGTCAAGAGCTTTTCTGTGTGAAATATGCACTACGGCAGCAAAAGCTCACAGGAGTACAAATACAACTGCTGCACGTGATACAACAAACAGGTACAATCCTTTGCGAAACGGCAATGTTATTCATCGAGAGCAGCACGCAAATGTTCGCAGCCTTTGACATCATAATGCCACTTCTAGTAAACAAATAAATGCCATGGAAATCTAGTTTGTATTTAAGAAACACTGTTACCAAAAAAAAAAAAAAAAGAAAGAAAGAAAACCACACACACATTTTACATGGCATCCTAAAAAAATAGAAACATATCTCATGTGGCATCTTTGGAAGGCTATCCTGGTGGTGCTTGGGACCACGACTGCACCCAGCGTCCGGGATGGAACCAGGCCGGGCCACAGTGCAATGCAAGGGTCTTAACCCTCCGACCATCAACCGCATCTTAATGCCGACCCACAGCTCGTGCCATCCCAGCATCACGGGCACATCCTCCCCGGCCCTTCCCTGCGGCAGGCACTCACACTGGGCAGCTCTGGCCCTCTAGATGCAGCCGAGCCTCCCACAGCACTCGTCCTCTCCCAAACGGAAATGCAGAGAATTCCCCTCCTTCCTCAGGATCTCCGTGCTTCCTTCCGCGCGCGAACTGCTGTCCCAACAATGCCTCTGACCAGGAAACGGCCGCTGACGCTCTCCGCACCGGGCGGCCACGCGCAGGCGGCCACTGTCCGCTGAAGGAACCGCCCCGTGTGGATGCCAAGGCACAGGACACGGTCTCAGGCGAGGAAGCGGGGCAGCAGCGGGCTGGAATAACGCCGACGGGCCCGAGCGGCTCAGTGTGAGCGCCTGCAGCAGGCCCGAGGCTGCGAGCTCCGAGCCCGGCACCCCCGCGAGGTCCCCCGGCCCACGGGCAAGGGTGTGGCTTCAGGCTCAGCACAGACGAGCGCGCCCACCACGTGCAGACTCCCACCTCTGTCACAGCAGGGGACGGGAGCCAAGGGGACCTCACCTTCCACGCCGCGTGTTCTCATAGAGGCTAAACTCACATGACTATTGGACGAAACAAATCAACAGAGCTCCATGTGAGAAACTGAAAAAAAATTTCCAGACTCTGGAGAGAGACATGCCAGGGACACTGAATCCAGCCTCCAAAGGACCAGGACCCGCAGTGACCGTGGCCCTGCTCAGGCAGACCCAGGCCCAGGTCAGCACTGACCGCAGCGCTGCTCAGGGGCGCCCGGCCCGGCGCTGTACCGTGGGGCTCCTCACCGCCCGTCTCCCACACCCCAGGTCCCTTCATCAGTGCGAACAGGAATTTCAGTTCTAGTTTTCCCCAGGTTTCCAACAGCGTACTAGGGTCCAAAGTCCTTTTCTAATATCCATTTCCTGGAGGACCAACGGGTCTCCTACGTTTCAAGAACCCACGTCCTTCCGACATTCTTCTGCAGGAACACCCAGAAAGTGCGTCCCACCTTGACACTTCCTGTTGTTTCCAGACACCTGCAGGCTCCCGAGAGCAGCACTCGGTCTCCGGGCCGAGAGGCCTCTTGCTTTCTTCCTTTCTCCCGCCCTGTTCCAACTGCCCGCTAGTCCACGGACCCCAGACGCAGCGTGGAAAGGCTGAAGAACGCTGCACGAGGAATCTGAAAGCGGAGACCAAACCTCCCCAGACACTCGCTCGCTCATCCCTGTGGCAGTCCGTCCTGTGATGGTCAGCAGCGACCTGGCACCGCCGAGCGGCCTCGCCTTCCACGCGCTTTCTGCGTCCCCAGCGCAGGCGGCGAACCAGGGAAGCCAACCGAGAGGTCAGGCAGCAACCGCCTCCCTGTCCACAGGCGGCCCCGTGCCCCCGTCCCTGCCAGACCTCTGATAAGCACATCTCAGCCTAAGCCCGCCTAATCTCCAGCTCCTGCTGCGATTCCGCTCGATGCTCCTGTAAATATGAACAGGGCTGCTGGAAATGTCAGCTCAGCACGTCTGAGGATTCGCTTCCGAGACGTCGGCAAGGCGCGCGCCCCGTGCTAATCTGAGGGGTCTCCACGCGCAGCCGGAGCAGGCCCGTGGCTGGAGTGAGATGCCCACCACGCCCCGGGGCTCACGTCTTGTTGCCCCTGCACGGCCAAGCCA